TTACCCATGTCTAATATGCTCCCACCATCAAAGCTACAATTGCAAGATATGCCAAACCAAAACAAAACCACTACATACATGATGTCCTACGTAGTTGGCGTGGATTTACGTCAAATCGCATATGAGTTTCCATCTGATGTTGAGCTTTCCACGCAATTGACATCCTTTCCTTGAATCCAATGTGGAAAGGACAAAGTCTTAATTTCTTGAGAAGAGCAATAGTCTCTTAAAAGTCCCTCCGACTTCAACAAGAGCATGGAACTACTACTAGTGTCAAGTAGACCGATTGTTCTGAAGCTATTGTTCTTGCATGTGTTGCAATTTTGCTATTGAGAGAGCTTCATTCAAATGTTGCATGTTTATTCAAATTTTTCATTTTGAAAATTAAAAAAAAAATGATGGATAAAATAATATTTTCAATCTTTCCTTAACAGTTAGAAACGATTGTAGAAATTTTGGTAATAATTTCTAAATAGTAGAGGTGGAGTAAGTCAATTTACTAAAACTTAAGGGATACTTTTAAGGATTTTCCCTTAATTTTCATGTTCATGCCATGAACAATCCATTTTAAGGAAGTAGTTGTGGAGGTTCAATGCTCAAAAGGACATGTGGAGAAAGGTGGTCAAAGACAAATATGGCGGTGATGTCTTTGGCTCGTCCTCGACTCTTCCCAAAACTCCTACAATACTAGTGTTTGGAAAGTTGTGGTGAAGCTTCAGGGGTCTTTTTCTCAGTTCAGAGCCTTCAAAGTTGGGATTGGAAGTGGAATCTCTTTCTGGAATGATGTTTAGTGTGGCTCAAGACCTTTAAAGGAAGCTTACCCATCAATGTAATTTGGCTCTCAACAACAAGGTAGTCATTAGTAACTGTTATGAGAGTCTAGTAGGTGAGGTAGTTTGGTCCCCAAAAATTACTTCAATTGGGAAGTTGAGGAATCCATATGAATGCTCAATGAGATCTCTCACATTAATGGATAGATTCATTTAATCAGTGTTTTCAAAATTGGATTGGACTGGAAAAATTGGGAATTAGTCACTTGATCAGTTCTGTTTCATCTCAAAACCGCTTTTTAGCCAAAAATTATTAATTTGGTTAACAAACTGCTGATCACCTAGGCAGTCGAACCATCAAACCGTTAATCCGGACAATAGGTTTTAGCCATTTTTTAAATTTTTATTTTTCTTTGTCAAAGTGAGCTGTCCATTCGAATTGGATATTCAGACCATTCGGCCAGGAACTAGTCCCCATAACAGTTCCCAGTCTGGCTCGATTTTAAAAACCTTGCATTCAATAATCCAAACCTAGAAAGTATTCTCTTTATTAGAATCTATTGTGATTGTGTCTCTTTTGGGTTGTCTAAGCGAAAGTCGTTAAGGTGTATAGAAATGCCTTAGCCAGGTGTATTCATCAACACTTGTTCCCAGCTTTCACTACCAAGAATCAAGCCAACCTTCTAACTGATCTGACAAGTGTTCATCAGCTCTTTGCGTTGCTATAAAAGATACTCTTTTAGTCTGATTTTCTTATTTAGCATTAATGTTGGAACTTGGGAAGGCACAAAGATCAATGCTTCTTATCATCCACCCCTTAAATATTTTTCTTCTTCTACTCGAGTTTTGATTGATAATTTCTTGTAGGGAGTTGAAATTATTATCATTGGTTATGAGGAAGGGAAAGAAGAGGCCACCTAAGAGGAATTCAAGGAAGGGATGCATGAGAGGCAAAGGAGGGCCTGAGAATTAGAGGACATGGTAGAAATGGGTGGACAAAATTCAAGAGCCAAATCAAGGCACCAAAATTTGGATGGCCACATTCAACACGTCGCCGGAAGCTACCGTGGCTTACAACGTTGTGTCTCTCACAAGCTTTATGGGTCATCTGCGAGAATGAACTTGCCAGAGCTAGCAACCAGCCCGACCTCTTGATTTACGATTGTATATTTGATTTATAAAGAAAAGAGAAAATTCTAGGTTAGTACTTGTACTTTAGGAGTTGTCACAAGCTAGTATTCCAACTTTAAAACATGTCATTACAATACCTGAATGGATGAATTTCCAAAAACTGTCAGTTTAGTCCAAAATTGATAACGATGTTAAGTGGCATGTGAAATGACACAAATACCTTTTAAACATTATCTAACTTTCTTTATAATATCCACTTGAAATTCATGAAAAAAAAAGAAAGAGAAGATGTTTAGACACCAGTTGATATGTAATGATCATGGATCAATGCATACTAAAACGGCCAAAAAGCAAAAATATCACAGAGAATAGTTTTGTTTTTTCCCCTTTTCTCTTGTCTTCTTGTCTGGTTTTCCTCCCAATCCATGGATAGATTTAAAAACCTAATCAAAGAGATAATGGTTCTTGAGGTACTGAAGAACCAAATATCCCACCATCGTTCTAAAACCAAAAGGGGAAAATAACAAACAAAGCAAATTAAGAAAATAAGAAGTGAGGGCAGTCTGTTGAAGACGGAAGAAGTTACTACCTGTCTGTCTCCAAAACTTCCAAGATTCAAAAGCCTTGGATGCTTCATCCATGGGAATTAGAGTCTTCATCCAATGTCTCTCCCAATTACCAATCACTCAGATTCAATCAATGGGTTCAGTCCAGTCCTTTACAGCCATCCGCTCAGACACGTCTGCCAATGACTTGAGATTGATGAGTAGTTCATTAGTCTATGACTAAGGTTCATGGTCTACCCTCAATAACTCTTGGATAGAGGGTAATGATTGATGAGTAGTTCCTTAGCCTATGATCCCCACCAACAAACCAAATGCTGAGTATATATTCATTATCGAGAAGTTCCAACCTTTTAGTGCTGGTTGTGACCAGCAATCCTGATTTTACATCCACTTCTCTGGCACTCCCAATCTCAAAGTCTCCCTGCATAACTCACTTACTTCTAAGGTTGATCGAATCTCCTCACCAAGGACAAGACAAGATGAATAGGAGCCTTGATGTGTTTAATTAATAAGGGTGAAGCTTCACTGGTTGTCTTTCATCTCGTGTCAGTGGTGCCTCCATATATACTTTGCCTCAACCTTGCTATATCCATTACCATTCATGGCAAAAGCCTTTTCTCCACAATCATCAACTTGTAACACGTTATTACTTGCCCTTTCCAAAGTCCAAAATGCTCCAATTTCAGAAAACCACCTAAAATGAACAAATTTCCCTAAAAACCACTATCCTTTTCTGATTTCTTTCTAAATAAGAAAAATTGGGCGTCAATGTGTCATACCGAAATTTAACATCCATTTTTTTATAAGCAAAGTGGATTCGGGACTGTTCTTGTAGCTTTGATTTTAGTTTCAAGGAAGAAGATAATGAATAATGTCTTTTTTAAAAGGGTAATGTTGAAAGTTTGGAGTGTTATAAATCACATGTGACATCACGTGCATCAGACAACTGACAAAATACTAACAGTGGGTACTAAGTTGACATTTTTTGAAAGTTTAGGTACTATAGTGATAGTTTTAAAGTTCATGAACTAGCTTTCAACAACCCTTGAAGTACATGGTACTAATATGGAATTTACCCTAAAGAAAATTAGATGACATGAACATTTTTGTCTTTTCACATATCAGTTAACAACAATTAACAATTTTAGACTAAATTGGCATGTTTTAGAAGTTCAGGTACTGGATTAATACATTTTGAAGTTTGGGGACAAAAGTGAGACTAGTCCCAGAGTATAGGTTGCTAATAAAATTTTTTTTATCATGTCATTATCATTGCCATCATCATCACAACAATAACAACAACAACAACAACAACAATAATAATAATAATAATAATAATAATAATAATAATAATAATAATAAGGGAAAATTCTAGGCTAGTACCCTCTACTTTGGGCCTAGTGTCACTTTGGTCTCCAAACTTTAAGACACGTCAATCCAATACCTAAACTTCCAAAACGTGCCAAATTAGTATCTACCCTTAACCAGCCATTAATTATGTGTATCATGTGATGTCATGTGCGATTTCAAACTTTTGAAAATGTCAAAATTACCCTTTGAAAAAAAATATTGTTCATCATCTTCTATCTAGTGTGAAATCAAAGTTGCATTCAAAACCAAAAAAAGTTTTGGTATTTACTTTTTTGTTGTCATGTACTATAATAAGAATGAATGCATATCAAAATTGAAACTTTAGAAGGAAAAACATCCGATTTTTCCTCTTAATAAAATAGTTTTAGGTTGATTAGTTGGTTTAAGCTTATGATTACTAGTTGGGTCTGATCTGAAACCTAGATCAGAAGCAGAGAACTAAAACACTCCCATCCTATGAAGTAAAGATAACGATTAGGGGAGCTTTGATATGATCCCAAATAAACCCCAATTGCCCTGTACAGAACTAGACTCACCAGACTACTAAGATGAGAGAAGACAAACCCAGTTCGGATCTCACTCACCAAAACACAACAGCCTCGAGAACAAGTACAAGCATTACAAAGACAATGACTAGAAAGCTAGCAAGTCCAAGAAATGCAGAGCAACAGACTAGAAGATACGAGTGCTACCCCAACAAAGTCCGAGTGCTACATCGCGTTTGCCTTTTCGCTCACACACTGGAGCAGCTATGGGTACTACCCCAGCAAAGTTCAAGGACGCCAGTGTCGCCTGAGTCTTGTGAAGGATCACCGCTTCGGGGCTGTTCAGGTAATAGTTGTAACTTATAGCGGATTTGGGACTGTTCATCATTGCTCTGCTTTAAGAACAGACCATATTCAAGGTACAATAAATTTGATAATTAAATAAATATAAAAAAAATTTTGGATGAATAATAAAAGAAATTAAATGACATTCAAAGGATATTTATGTCTTTTTACATGTCATTTAACCTGGTTAATGATAGGTATTAGATCGACACGTTTTGGAATTTCATGTATTTGATTGATACGTCTAAGCCCCAAATACTGGAATTTTTCATAATAATAATAATAATAAAGTGGAGCACCATTCTATCGTAATTCTGTTACATGACATCATAAGAGAAGAGTCATTAAATCAAAAACTGGGAGCAGTTCCTTGTCGTTCTCCCGAACCACCGGAAATCCCTGTTCCCACTTCCCAGGGTTTGCTACGAAGAGCCTCAGAGCCTCAGAGAAGACAATGATGGCGTGGGCACTGTAGGACGTTGCGAGAGAGAGAAAGAGGACTCGCTCGCTGCAGAGAAGAGAAGATTGCATACGACTAATTGCTCTTTATTGCAGACAAGTACGCAATTTTTTTTTTCCTTTAGCTGGTGCTGCAACGATTCGGTTTCTTTTATTCACAACAAAGGGTTCGGTTTGTAGCCTTTTTCTCGTCATCTTCTTCTTCTTCTTCTTCTTCTTCCATGAATCTTTGTAGCCTTTTCCCCTTCGGTTTCTTCAGAGAAAAAACAGGGGTCCCGCCCCATTTTGATCCTCCTCTCATTCTTATTTTATTTCCAGAAAACACTGGGGCTTCGCCCCTCTTTCTCTTGGTCTTCCCCACATTTCTTCTTCTTGTTCTTCTACATTTTTTAATTTATGATTCCATCACCATTTTAGCTGATTAATCTGCAACATGTAAATAGAAAGTTGATGGTTAATAATTTACTATTTAAAATTTATGCTCAACCGAAATTGGGGAAAAAGTTGGTTGCTTTTAATTTATTTGCTCGTTTAGTACATTTTGTTAATATTACATAATTTATGTCAATTATGATTTGCGAATTACCTAGGCTTTGCATTTTGCTACTGTTTGACATTCGATGGTTTGATAATTCTGATAACACTAGTGGATGGTGATGCTGATCTATAGTAGATTGATTCTGATACTCCTTCAGACCTTGTTTTATGTGTTTCTAATAGGCCTTGAAGAAATGCTGTTGTCTTTTGTTTATTTACATGTGTGATTTGGGAGTTGTGACCTGATAAGTGATAACTTAGTTTTTGACAATGAGCTTCATGGACGATATCATGGTTTGGTTATTAGTTATAGTGTTATATGTTTGAATATGGTGACGTTGAGGTTTTGCAATTTTATTATATTTTTTCTATATGGTTTAATTTATTATTTATTGTTTATTAATTAAAAATTTATTATTTGGGGATTTTGCAATCTGGTTTAAACCTCATGCCTTAGGTCACACTTTCACATTTTGAAAGGTTGGGGTGAACTAGTGGAAAACATCACAACTTAGATGGCTATAGATATTGTTCTGAACTTTGCGTTACCATGTTGTTACACTAGGAAGATGGATGGATCAACAAAAGGAGGCAGTGCTGTGGATATGGTCTTGCCAAACTATAAGTTGGGGAAAACTCTTGGAATTGGTTCATTTGGTAAGGTGAAAATTGCAGAACATGCACTGACTGGCCACAAGGTTGCTATCAAAATCCTCAATCGCCGTAAGATAAAGAACATGGAAATGGAGGAAAAAGGTATACACCATAATCTTGTAGTGTGATGCTTTCCATCCTACAAACTACAATTAAGTTTTGAAACTGTAGAAGTATAATATTCATTTGCTATTTTGGTAATGCTTTTATTCTGGATGTGAATACTATTATTTTGTAACCTTTAATAGTTATATGGCATTATAATTGCTTTGCATTTGTATGTTTTAAAAGTAATACTAAAATTTCATCTCATTGATCAAAGAAAAAACTATTATGACAATTACATCTATAACTTAACCCTGAAGATTTTGTTAATCCACATCATTTAGTGATTTGGTGACCAGAACATATTGTCCAAACAAGTTGAAAGTTGATATTATTTCAATTTTTGTATTTGCAGAAATCCATTTCCCTTTATCTGGCTAACGCCACTAACCATGGCTCAATAACTTGATCAGTTAACATGCACTTATACATCCAAAGTTAATGTTTAATTGTAAATCCTTTTGTTTTTGGTGTGTGGAATGAAATGAAACCATGATTTCATTAGTTAATCTGAGGATTACCCATCCCCCCCGTGGGAAAAAAAGAATTGGGGATTTTCCATCCAAAAAAAAATCTGAGGATTTGATATATCAACTGTCAGCTGTTTCTATTTCTAACTTTTGAACACAATTTGGTAAATGTAGGTAGGCTAGCTATTGTTTAAAAAAAATGTTGGCTTAGAAAAAAAAAAAAAGAGAAGATTTCATTAACACTTTAGGAAACTTGGTAAAGATTGTTAGCAATATTAAAAGAACTGAAATTTGTAAATTGGCCCTTAAAGTCTGATCGTCCTTGATATCACTATTTCTCCACTAATCATAATTCTCCTAGGAGATGAAGTTTTTTCTTTGGTAGTTTTTATCAAATTTGAATGTGTATGTGTGCCTGTAATTAATAAAAACAATGTCTATGTATTTTTAGGGGAGAAAGGAAGAGAGGCACACACATACACATATAAAGTTGAAGCAATTGGCCTTCTGAGTTTTGTTTTCATAATACAAAACCCAGTCTTAATCTTCCAGGTGTGCCTAGCTAAATTCTCCTTCATTACTTTCTAATAATCTGCTATGAACTTAGAGCCTTCAAACTAACCAGTGCATCCCCCTCGTTAAGGTTACTACATACACTGACTAAATCATCTTAAATACTTTATCTTTATTTTGTGAATTATTATGGCACCTTTTAAGATTCCTTGAGTGCTTAATCTTTGTATACTTTCAAATTTTATTGTTCTTTCTCAAAATTTTGAGTACAAGTAATTTTCTTTTATGTATATATTATACTATATTTATTATGCTTCTTAGATCATATTACATATCAAAAGAGAGAATGAAAGGAAAGAGAAACCCCCTCTTCCCACCACAAAAAGAAGCAAAAAAGAATTAGGCCTTTTCTTTCTAATATATATTTAAATAAGTGAAAATTTTGCATTCAAAATGACGGCCTAATAACTCCAAATTGCAAATCTAGACGGCCAATGATAAATGACCCATTTACAATGGTACAAGCTATTCCTAAAGCAAAAGCTATATTGCAAAATTTGCAATAAAGAAAAGAGCAATATATGTTGGGAGGCCCATTCCTCCTAAGGTGGGAGCCTTTAGTTGGGAGGTATTTCATGAGAAAATTAGGACTTGTAAGTTGTAACATACCCCAAAAAAGAAGGCCAAATGTTTGCTTGTCCCCTTCATGCTGTGTCCTATGCAAAGCTAATGGTGAGTCCTATTATCACTTACTAATTTCCTGTCCATTTATTGTTGGTATTTGGGAATGGTCTTTCTTGTTATTTTGGGTGTAGGTGGACTCCTCTGGATAGTATGACAAGCTTGTTTTCTCTAAGTTTTTTTTTTCCTTGTCCAAAGAAAAGGGGAAGGATAATGTGGAGAAGTACAAGGGCTACACTGACGGTTTGGGAAGAAAGGAATGCAAGAATCTTCAATGAACGAGAGAGAAGTAAAGAAGAGATTATTTAATGTATAACTACTAGGGTGGTCCATTGGCTGAAGCCTATGGAGAGCTCTTCATTTATAGTTGATGACATCTTTAGAAAATGGAAGGAATTGGTGGAGATATCATATAAAAAGCTTATCGTTTTAGTAAAGAGTGGCTTCCTCTGGAAAAAGGGTTTAGAGTAGTTATTCTAAATCCCTTGTTTTTCCTTCCCCTCCTGCTTTTCTATTTCTGCAGCTCTGTTCTTTCAATCCAAACACAGCCTAATTCTTCATCATCATTATTCTCTAAGCCTTATCCCAACTTTATGTGTTTGGCTACATGAATCTTGTTTCACCATTCTATTCTGCTTAATGTCATATCCATTGTTAAATTATGAGTGCTTAAATCATTTCGTACTACTTCAACCCATGTCCTTTTTGGCCTGTCCCTAGCCCTTCTAGGCCCTTGAACTTGTAGCCGATCACTTTTTCTTATGGGTACTGTAGATGATCTTCCATGCATGTGGCTGAACCATCTAAGTTTACTTTCTCTCATTTTATCATCTATTGGAGCTACTCCTAGGTTATTTCAAATGATATCATTTCCTACCCTATCCTTTCTACTTTTTCCACTCATCCATCTCAGCATATGCATTTCTGCCACACTCATTTTTTGGACATGTTGCTTCTTGACTGCCCAACACTCTTCTCCATACAGCATTGTTGGCCTTACAACTGTTTTATAGAACTTTCCTTTTTTGATGAGTAATAAAAAAGTTTATATTAAAAATTAGCAGAAACAACTTATACAAAGAGCTCCCCACAAAGAGGCACAAGGTGCAGCCTAAAAAACAGTAGCAAATTACAATTGAGCCCAAAAAAGATGATCCCTATGCACCCCTTGCTTATCTAGACAGTCAACTATCCCATTAGCCGATCTCCTTTCTTACTATCATATTGGAGGTCAACCATTTAAACCTCTTCATGGCTTTCTTGTAGGTCAAAACAACAGTGTTCAGATTCCTTAGCTACCCAATTATCAACTTTGAGCTCCCCTCAATTAGTAACTTACCAATGTTCATCTCTTGAAGTGTACCCCCTGCAGGACAGCTTGAAACTCAGCTTCGATAGAATCCCCCTCACCTGTAGGGCCTGAGAATAAAGCAATTATACTACTGCCTGCATCTTTGAAAACACCCCTATTCCTGAGGGCCCTAGATTCCCCAAACTGCTACCATCAAGGTTGAGTTTAATGAAGCCTTCCTTAAGAGGTACCTGTGCTACAATAGGCTTTGCCTTTATTTCTTAACTTCTCGCTACAGCTCTCTAATTACTCCAAGGAGGAATATCATCAAATGAAAAAAACAGAAAAAAAATATCCAGAGTTTAGCCCAATGTATAGCCCTACGTACAGTGCAGTCCCAAATAGTATCCTCATTCCTTTACGTACTGATGTGGGTTAGCTTGGCCCAACCCACTGACACCTGACAGCGTCAGCAACAGTAGGAGGGAGCCCTGCTGCTTCCGTACGGAGCCAACCACATAACCGTCAGACGTACCCGCCAGGGCCTGCAGCCTGACCTCATACGGCTCTCATCTGGGGTGTTCATCTTCACCTACCCCCAGCACGCTCAAGTATAAATAAGAGGTAACTGCCCCTTAAAGGGGGCCGAAACAGAGAAACTCCAACATCACTCACTCATTTACTCCCTGCACCAACCTCGTCTTCTTAGCATTAATTCAGGGAGATCCGGTGCATCCAAGGACTCTCTCCAAGTGCTCTCCTGCACCCTCCCCTACTCTACACCTAGTACTAACTTGAGCGTCGGAGCCTCTGCCTCGGGTATCCACCCCAAGGCCTCTGACACTCCCTGTCTTGTAGTATCTTTGGTCACCAGGGACTTCGCCTCGACTTGCAGTCATCGGCTACCATAGTCCTTGGAAGGAATACTTCGCCTCGGCTTGCGGTCCTCGGCTTCAGTCAATCTTTCCCAAGGCCCCGGGGTCCTCGGCCAACACTCAGAACCTGAAGAGTGAATTTACTTCGTTGCCCCCAGCCAATCCGCGCGACAACAATTGGTGTCGTCTGTGAGAAAAGTTTCTAAGACGACACCCACTTTAGGATAAAAAGTAATAATACTCAAAATCCAAACCCCCCTTAAGCTCGAAAGTCATGGTGAGGAGAGCCAGGAACAATCAGAACCTGCTCACCTACGAGCAATTTCAGGCCGTCCTCGATCGTTTGGACCGCCTCACTCAACGAATGGAGGAAGTTTGCCCTAGAGCAGGAGGTCCCTCTCAAGGCGACCGCCCTGTTGGGGTGTCAAAAGATCAGGGTCGATACGAGAACGTCGAACCATCGGCCCTCGGCCACGGTAATCCGCCGGCCG